GTCAGCTATAAAAGTCCCCGAAATTCAATGTAAAACAATTCAAACAAGAAAACTAACGGCCTAATTTATGTACAAAAAATGAACGAAAAACAAATATGTAACACATAAACAAACGACAACCACTGAATTACAGGCTCCCGACTTGGGACAGGCACATACATACAGAATGTGGCGGGGTTAAACATGTTAGCTGGATCCCAAGCCTCCCCTAACCTGGGACAGTGGTGTAACAGTACAACATAAGAACGAACAATAAAAGCAGTTGAAAGAGGCCCAACTCATCACAAATACTACAAATACAAGTGGACGTTGCTGGGCACTTGTACATCCAAACAACAGAAAGACAATAAGTACAGATCTGAGGATACTCGCAGTTACTGACAGCTAGTTCAAATCCACTAACAACTAATAAAAAAATCATGCATCTAAGACTAAATCATCAATCCGTACACATCCACCATCCAATGGATTTAGTGTAAAGACGTCATAAACAGTCAGAGAAAAAAAAACATGACTATGTGCAATGCCAAGATACAAGTATCGACAGATAGTAGTTCATTTTCACTTAAATACGCGAGTATTACTCTTCTAGAATATAGGATGATTGGAAAAAATACGTGTGTTTACGTTTTGAAAATACAAAATAATTGGTTTGAATGTATGTTGTAATACAATTTCTCTCGATAATGACTTTATAATGTACACATACAGGATTTAACCACAAAATAAGTTATTAAAGCAATATGATATGGAATATTGATCATTGAAAGCGATTCATCTTGCTTATAAATGCGAATTTGTCTTATGTGGGACTTTTAAAGGTGTGATAAATTTTCATTGTGGTTTTATGTGATAATTGGACATGCAAACAGACTTTTATCCTGAACTGTAGTTATTGCATGACAAACGCACGTATTTTTTCAAACATTGGTCACCAAATTTCCCTTAAAAGAATGCTTCAAAAATGCAATCATTTAATAACTTAAAATAACATCTGGTATATGTGCAGATAGTGAGCATGTCTGCCTCCAGAATATATCACACATACCTACTTTATTTATTATGTTTTTTCTAAAATAGTCAAAAGTTATGAAATAGTCCATATCTATCGTTCGTTACGCGTTTTCGTAATAGTACTGGACCATCCGTTTGTAAAAACACCGAGATAAACATATGCTGTTTCTGTTGAAATACCCATGTTAATCCATTTTAAGGACTTAATTCTTTGACAGTCCAAAAACTTTTGATATTAAAAACTAAAACAAATGACTTTTGTATATGTTTACCGTGAAAGAGAACTTCCTGGTGCAAAAGATTGCCATTCATTGGAAACACCCGATTGCAATCAAGTTTCTCGGAGATTTCGCGACAATATCCCAAAAACGTGAGGTCAATGTCGCACGAAGGTAAGGTTATGATGATATTTGACACATCGTCTTGAGGGGATACACGTTCACATGATGCATACTTAAAGATTTTCAATGAGTTTGCTTTCAGTGTGTCACGAATTCGACAATATTCTGGAGTATGAAATCCATTAATGCATTCCTTTTTAATAGCGACTTTTTCATTGAAAAGTTTTAGTTTTTGCTTAAATAAGCTTTGAAAAGTTCTCACGAAAGATACATATATATTTGTACCATTTCAATTGGCTTTAAAAAGTCAAAACGCACAACAAACAGTACATAAATTTACTATGAGTGGTATTAAACAAACAAACAAACTAACTCTAAAGAATACGAACCATGACAAAATTCGGAATTAAACCTTTACACATCTATAATATAATCTAACAATGTGTTTCTCATTAGTTGTGACTACCGTAGTTAGGTAAGTTTACTTATTATTTACAAACATTTCGCAACAAAGACTCTTTGTAACATAAACTCGATTAAACTATAAATAACAGCATGCTATGTTGAGTCGAAAACTAATTGTTATCGTGCGTTTGGTGATTTTGTTGTTGTTTAAAGTCATAATAGGTGTGCATGTAATAAAAACAATATGCAATGCTCTCAGGAAGCAATAGACTTGTTTTCATCAACATTGAAAAATGACCGTTACTGCCAGAAGTCTTTGAAGAAAATTATATGAACGTTTTATCTACCAGCTTTGATTGGATTCGCAGCAACATCCGGAATCAACTGTACGGCGGTTATACATACCCGTGATATAGAACTTGTTTTAAACTTGAAGCAACAAACTGCGATTCTCAATATGTCATTATAATTTCAAAATAATGTATTTACGTATTCTTAACAACACATTCTAAATTGTCGCTTGCACGTTTGTTTTTACTGTATAAGATGTACATGATGTATGCACTGTGAAAGTTTCGTTTGACATATAAATTATCCAAAGTCATTCAGTCGTGAAGTGTCAAGTTCTGTAGGCGAGCGTGTTTTGTCCACAATATACGCACTGATGACGCTGCATCGATACGTGATGTATTACACCTTAGATATAAACCCAAACTGAATACGCAGCCTGTCACTCGAGCGTTAAATGTAAATCATTGTGTGAACGCTCTTTATTAACCACGATGCACCCTTTAATAACGCTCTATTAGTATGTGTTGTATATTACCCTAGATATAGACAAAAACCAAAAAGTTTTCGGTGACCGTGGATGTGCTTTACTGTCTAAGGTTTATGTATTTGATAATGGAAAGGATAAATGTTATCCGACAAATATATTCAAACGAATTTTTAGGGAAAAAGAAAAGAATATTTTTAGCATTAAATTCTGTTTTTACGGAATTCGATTTAGTAATTCGTCAGACTTTAACACAAAGTAGCCATTTTCAAATCCTTCTGACTTTATTAAGTTGTGATCTAGTTGAATAAAGACTCTATTTGATGAGACGAAAAAGATTCCTATTGTGAAAATGCACCGAATATACAATAGAAAGTATCGTATCGTTATTCAACAGTAAACATAAGCCGCATAACGAGAGCAGCAGAGTGGAATTTAACTCAATAACAACAAATTGAATGACAAAGCCTGTTTCAAGGTATGCAAAATTACTGACTATGTCCAAAGGTATATTTTTTTTCTGAAATCAAACGTTACTGTTGCTTTTAAATCTTTTGTACGCTATGTTTGTTAAATATTCTTAATATTTACTTATTGAATTATCGATGTGAAACCTGGATGGCTATATGGGCGATGAAAACACGTCTGCATCACTTAACAGTAATACGAATTCATTAAAACAATATTTTTGATGTATTGTTTGTTATTTATTATTAAAAAATCATTAATTTTCATCTGTTTAATTATAATTCTACATAAAAATACATGACAGATATAGTAAAAATAGTATTTCCGGATTCGCTCTTTGAATACACTGCGCAATTCTGTTTTGAATGTAAATTTTAGTGTTTTTTTTTCCATTTGCGAATTTGACAGCACAACTTATCTATGTTTACTCAAAATACCCTGCAAATATACAATATATGTACGATGTCGGAAAATATTAAATTTATTTGTACCAGCTTTCGAAATAGGACGAAAATCGATGCTCGTCGAATTTTTCTCCTGTTTTGTAGCGAGTACAAATGACGCGTATATTTCGGACAATGTACATATATTGTTTTCATTGCGCAATTTACACCCAGCTCCTTTTGGTTTAGTTGTTCCAATTCAATTAGGTGTCACACTTTTCAAAGAATGAGCATAGTTTCAACGCGGACCGCAAAGAGGACCCCCAAATAGAACTGTCACACAAAATGAATTATTCACATTACCGTTTGCTCCATGTGAAAGTGGAGTTACAGCAGAAGACTTTATTTGTACAAGTACAAAATAAAAACTAATTTGAGTACCTGTTATTTGTTCATTAGTTGGCTGATTACAGGATAAACATAGACTTGATATTCTAGTAGATGAACAATGGCAGAATATTTAGAATAAACTTGAAATATAATAAAAATAGAGTGAAATGAAGAAATGATACGAAGCGAGTGTGTTTGAATTATATTTTAGTTATTGCTTTATTTTATGTTGACAAAGATAATGGATAGCGTAATATTGATAGCGATTTGGTATATGCGCGTATATTTAGATGCAAATGCAATTAAAAAGACACACATTAAAATCTTCCATTTTAATTTAAACTATGCAGTCAGTGCAAGCAATTCAAACGGACGTTAAAACGGATAAAACAAAGGATATTTGTAAAGTATTGCTACCTGAATATTCGAATCCGGTACTGCCACTAAGTATTAAACTCGACATTTTTTTTAACATGTATCGATAAGTACGTAAAATCAATTTAATCATTAGACAACGAAACATATTCTTCATGAATAAATTAAATACTAATTAAATCATGTGATATGTTAAAAGAGTAATGAAGATATCATAACCTCGATTGAATGATACAAGCAACTTTGAGACAATGATTGTCATTACTAACTTTGCATTTACTAAAACGATATTGTAATACACTTTTGTTAATTATTATTTCAAAATTGTTATCGTTTCTATTGGAAGCAATGCATATTTGGAATCTACTGATGTCATCGTGTTTTATGGTATGTTTGGGAACACGACAGGAATTGTCAAATACTTACATCGTAGATTCAAATTTTAATGATCGTGTTGGTACTCCAAATAAACTTCAGGAATTAAGATCTGTATCTTCTGTCAAATGCGCATTATTGTGTTCCCAAGCCAGCGGATGTGAATCGTTTTTCTTTCATGCAAACGACTTGAAATGTGAGTTGGTAACTTCTATTCTGAATGACTTGACGGCTACAACTGTATCGGCTAATTGGCGTTACTATAAAGGGGATATACCGGGTAACTATGATGCATTTTTGTTTCTTATTTGTACACGCTTGATAAATCTTGTTAATTTTAGTTTAAAAAAGAACATTAAAGAATGTTCATTGTGTCAATTTTAGAAATGCAATATCGACGAAAGCTTAGTTTTGTCATCATTTGAATATTTTTCACACTTCAATTGTGGTTTTCTTTAAAAGTGATTATTTTATATGTTGTATCTTAAGGAAGAAGGTATGTTAAGAGCACTCGTTTGGCCATTGAAATTGCAAAAATGTAGAAATATTTCGTGATAATATTGATTTTATAAAAAATGTGAAAACGTTGATGTAATGTGGACACTTTAGTCCCGAAAGTCACTTTTGAAGTCGCAATGATGTCATTAACATGTCGAAATTTACATATATGACGTGCAATAAACATATTACATGTACAATTAGTTTATTTTTAACATCTTTTGTTGAGCTACAGATTACGCAAAAGGATATTTTACACACATCAATATCATTTTCAAATATGTTTTTTAAGGCAGGTCATATTTGTTGTGAAACCTTGACCCATATCAAAATATTATTTACAAAATATCAAAATAACTCACCTATATCAATACTGATATCTGACAAACAAATGTCTTATCAACACATGAGAGAGGATTTTGATAAATGTATTAAACTTTTTGATTTTCTAATAAAAGAGTCCAAAACGGTGGCCTTGTCATACATTCGCCTTTACAATATCATAGAGGCAAGTAAGTACTTTAAGAAATACAATTTTCTATAGTAGTTTGTCCTTATTTGGATATTTGTATTACGCAGCTAAGTTAAGGATGTTCGCTACTCTTGTTTTTGACTTTATGTCAGATATTCGGAATCCTCCAGATTATCCATATAGCGTCAATAAAAATTTTGCCCACTAAGTCCTAATTTTCTTTTAATAATTTTATAACAGTTAGTTTTAATAGCCATTTCTGAAAATATGATAAAATCCTTGTTATTTTTTCATAGTTTTTAAAAGAACAAAGTGCCAATGTTAAATGAAAAATCAAGAGAGAATCATTTCTCGCCACATTTTCAATGGATTATGTCTCAAAAGGACACGGACCTTTCATTTTTTTCTATTTGTTAAGTTATGTTGTTTTCATACTATCAATTTATAACAGTCTTTTAAAAGGTTTAAAATTTTGAAACAGAGGAGCGAACATCATTAAGGTCGATTGGTCTATCATCAAGCTTTTTCAAATGTACCTATTAAACTGCAAACAATGGTTTATAATTTATCATAGACATCAGGATTACAATTGTGTACGCCAGACGCGCGTTGCGCAGAAGAGCATTGAACGGGTGCAGTTTTGTTGAAAATCAAATCAGAGTGCTATCATCTGATTATTCTTAATTGTCTGTCATCAAACAAAAGTACTCACACGATCAATATTTGAATTATCTACTTTATAAGTGAATAATACTGGTTAAAGATGAATATGTACAATGGCTTCAGGAATTCCTGATAGTTCGTGTTACTTGGTAAATGTTGCTGCTTGTGTTGTATTTTACTGATTGACAGTTTAGTAGCCATATAATTGAATTCTCCAAGGTTAAGAACCATTGAGTCGGGCCGGTTAGAATGAACATACAAGCAAGTTAAACATATTTTAAACAAAATAGTTCTTACGCATAGCTGTAACTTGTCAATATTTAAACTTTTGGGTAATTTTGGAATCAAAATTAAAGATGTAGGATCACTGTAGAAGTTTCTCTTGGAAAACAAAACACATTTATCAATTAGAAATAGGAGGGCATTTGCCCTGTTGCTCAGCATAAATAAATTTCTAATACTTGTGAACCCGTCACTCGAATAACTTCTGAACTTCCGTTGTTCTAATCTGGCAGTTGCCATTTTGCTTACATACATCCGTGATTTCATTTTGATGAAATATAAACATTGTGTTAAGAGGCTAAAAGTGTCATTCACTGGTGATTAAAATGATAATTCATCAATTTACGAGAAGTACTTGTATAGAAGTATTTATTTTACTTACAGTTGTGACCTGTACCAATAGTCTGACAGTTGTTGGAGCAACATTCACGCCACTGCAGACTAACGCAACAGCGGGTGAAATTGTATCTTACCAATGTGTTCCAGGCTTTGAGTCGATTACGAATAATGGAACCGTCAGTTGTCAAGGAGATGGAACATGGTCAGCTCCAAGTGATCCTTGTCAAAGTAAGATTTCTTATTAAAATCCCAATGAAAGTTACAATAAGCCTTATAATTTGTCTTCAACATGTTTATGAAAGCAATACATCATTTACATTCCATTAACAATGATTAAGGGGACGTTTTCTTTGTTGAAATGTATTGTTCTCGCTTTTTTCACTGATTCAAAATCTTTACAAAACTGCATTTTAAATAATGATTTAGGTATCATGTAATCGACAGCAACACAAAACCCGAAAAAAAAACGGAGTCACCAATTGCAACATTTCATATCTGTTTACGTTTTAAATTTGTAATCACTGATCTTCTTAACACTATAAAAATATGATTGGTTTTTTTTAAGTTGTAGTGTGTATAACTTCTTACTACGCATTTAGGAAATTTTTTTTTTATGACATCATTTCTAGAATGTGGTACGTATAGTGCGAACTACGAGAAAAGAGCTGGGAAGTATTTCTATCCTCCTCAGACGTTGATGTCATGGTATCCTAGTACAACAGGGTCAGCAGGATCGATTACCTCTACCTATTGTAAAAGCTCATGTACCAGTAGACCTGACTTCACATGTGTTGGTGCCTATCATAAACCTGGCTACTGTCTTCTTGTTTGGATCAGAATTGAAGAGGATATTAACCTTTACGATCCGTATTACTATGACAACCCGGATTACGACGAATTTATAAGACTGTGTAATTAAATTGTAATATTGAAAGATTATCTAATTTTGTGTAAACGTTATGTGACATATTTCAGTCTTTTCTATGTTGTGATGTTATACTATTGTTTCAGAAAAGGGACAAGGTTTTGTACCATTAAAACGTTTATTCTCGCTGCAAATGTTTGCACCTGTCATAAGTCAGGAATCTGAAAACAGTAGTTGTCGTCTGTTTATGTAGTTCATACGTGCTTCTCGTCTCTCTTTTTTATATAGATTAGACCGTTGGTTTTTCCGTTTGAATGGTTTTACACTAGTAATTTTTTGGGGCCCTTTATAGCTTGCTGTTTGGTGTGAGCCAATGCTCCGTGTTGAAGGCCGTACCTTGACCTATAATGGTTTACTTTTATAAATTGTAACTTGGATGGAGAGTTGTCTCATTGGCACTCATACCACATCTTCATATATCTATTCAAACACTTAATATTTTTTTTTTCTTAAAAAAAAAATAAAAATAAAAATAATATATCCAGTATTGACACATCTAAATTGCTCTGTAGTGACTGCATGCATCATCTACACCTGGTAATGTAACTTTCATCACGATTAAGTTGATTAACCAGAAAATGGTGACTATAAAAAGATTGTTGTTTGAATTCCTGAATCATATGGCGAATGGATACTAAGCAGTGTTTTGACAAAGGGAATGGAACGGTAGGTAATTAGATTGAAAAATATGACAATCAAATCTACGACTGCTAACCGTGCTCAGGTCGCTGAAATTTTCAGCCTGAACAATTCATTATTGTACAATGTTGTATACATTTGTCAAAAGTGACACACTTCCTACTAGAGGTCGGTCATTTCTAAACGTATCCATTCGTATCAGATACTTTGACGTATACGTATCTTGAGATATGCCAAAACACAACTTTTGATCCAGAGTTTTAAGTCAATGATGCGTATCAAAGACATCTTTATTTCACGGGAACCTAAAACAATTGCACACATTGTATCCAAAATGGCGATTGTGGTGCTTTGCGGGGTACTATCACTGACTAATAAGAACGGATATGGAACACTGGCACGAAGATAGTTAAATATCCAATGCAACAAACAGAAAAAAAATATACAAAGCATGCCTGACCATTGGTTTACAATAATCCAAAAAGTTAAATATACTATTCTGGTCAGGTTCTATGAATACAATACATGCAATAAATAAGAAAAGTTCTAAAAAATTATTCCATCGTTCTACTTCACTTTCTCCTATATTTATTTATCACCTTGAAGGACTTGTAATTTTCGAAATAATGGACTTGATATTTGGAGCCAAAAAATCACTGACCGCATCCACCCTTTGAGATGGCTTGTCACACTTGCTATCCCTCTTTTTAATTTCATGCCAGTTAAATAGGTTTTACCTTTCCTGATAAAGAGTTCAGTTCGCTTCTTTTCTTAATCTTGCATCACCTTATATTTGATATTGTACCATTTGGAAACTTCAAGTTTATCGCCTTAATTGTTTTTTATTTTGTGTACTCTAAAAAAAGGTGCGTTCAATTCGGCTATGTACTACATGTAGATGCGAGATAGTTGGACTTTGGAATTCATTTTTTACATCAATTAGTGTCATTTACCTCGGAAGTGCAACACCTTTACATCTTCAACTCAAGGATAGTACAACATAAAAAATTGAAGCAAATCAATTCGCAAGTATGATCCGAAATCTAAGTGAGGCATTTAAAAATAAACCAGATGCAAATTAATCAGTTGCCTCAAAGTTCCAAAAGTTCGATCTCCGTTATTCTCTAAATAGAGTAAACCTAGTTATAATTACATTTGTGGTCATATTATCTAAGTATATCTCCAAATACGTATACGTCAACGTATCTGATACAATTGAATAGGTTTTCAAGTAACCGACCTATATTAGAAAGAAAATACACAAATGCGAAACAATACTCATTTTATTTTCAGTGTAACCTCACCATGCAAAATGTATGTAAATGACTTCTTTTGACTGCTATCAATACCATTCAATCGTCATTTCATCATACCTTGTAATTCAGAAAGGGGATTATAATGTTTTGGGTTGTATTTCTTTTCACAAGAGTATTTCTAATACCGAGTATACAGTAATAACGTTGCGTATATACACTTAACGGTTGTCAGTGTGTGCATAAGTCAATAACCAAATTTTGAACCTTTGCTTGATACATAGATTATGAAAGTTTTAAAATATAATAAAATCTATCGACATATTTAAAGTTGACTTGCTGGATACAAAACTTATCCAAAAATTGTCAAAAACCAAGTATTTTTTGTAAAAAAATACAACGACAACTTCATAGACGATGTCAATAGTAACTTAGTATCACTACTACCCCTTATTTGCAACCATTTAACATAAGGATCATGTAGAATGTGTCATTATTTTTTTATATTTACAAAACAGGTTCGCTTAGCAAATTCAACCTTAAGTGTAAACAAATTTCAAGTTGAGTTGCTTTTGGAAAGACATTTGTGGGAGTGAAACAAACATGGATTAACCATATAAAACGAATCGAAAAAAAAAATAAATAAATAAAATCTAACAGACGGCTGTGAATAGGAACATAATTTATGTTTGAAAGCTATCGTTGCTGAACATTCTATAAAAAAAAAAGAGCACAGGGGATTTCAGAAACGATATGAAATATTTAATTATGTGTAAGGCGTGTATGTATGTTTATTAAGTAAACTCAAAATTTGTAAGTTTAAACTTAAACAACGCTTAATTCAGTTAGATTGTACGAGTGATAGATGAAAAAGGACATATAATACCAAAGACAAATATGTTTCTTAAGCTTCAATTAAAAAAAATGCTAGAAATCTGCAGTGTTGTTTCAATATTGATGTAAAGGAAACGTTTCCATCAGTAATTAATAGTTGTTGAAAGCAGCAGTACATTTAGTGCGTATTTATTTGATGTTGCTTCAGAAAACATATTGTTTAAAAAAAAAACAATAAACATTTTGCTTCATTGATAATCAAGATTTTATCATTAATCTTATTATAGTTTTTTTTTTTTATTATTCAGACAAACTCAATTTATGATTATGAGTAGTCAATTTAATATATCATACAACCTGTACGCATGCATTTAATGCTTTGATTTCCCCAACCTCGAGCCGATCTGAAAAGTATTAGCTTAAAAAGTTCAGAATTGTTATTAATTAACGTTATTTTTTATGTATTTTCTTATTGTAAATTCAGTATTGTTCAGACATTTAGCTTGATATTGACTGGAAGCAAATTTTCTGAACAATGACTGATTTTGCAAAGACAAAACTAAAATTATTTTTCATTTTTCGAAAAGGATTTATTTTGAGGACTAATCATTCCGTTCATCGTGACCATGGAAAACCGCAACAAGCAAAATCAATAAAAGATATATTTTATATGTTGTACGACCTTGTAGTTACTGAAAATGTCATTTTTCACGGAAAAGATGAAATGAAGCGTAATTTTATATTCAAATATAACAAAACTAAGACACTAACAGACCTTCTAAAATTCAAACTGGTCATTTTTCCGTGCGTTCATCGTGTATCGTGCGTGTTGCGTGCGTGTATTTTGCGTGTATCGTGCGTGTACCAATTGTGCGCTCATCATTCATCGTTCAGTATGTTTTCCGTGTAACGTGTGTGCATCGTTCATTCATTCTTAACCGTGTAACGTGCGCTCATCAATCATTCATACTTAATAGTGTATCGTGCATTCATCAATCGTGTATAACAGTGTAACGTGCATTCGTCAATCGTTCATCTCTAATCGTGTAACGTTCATTCATTGTGGTTTTATATGATAGTCGGTTATAGAGCTCACCAAAGCTTATATTTTTTCTGTTATAGTGTATATATATGTTCTGACTTTAAATAAAATTTACATTTTTACTTACTTTCTTGTGAACTCTTAATCAACTTTATCGTACATAAAGTTCATACAGATTCATGACTTTTTGTATAAAATTTATTTATCGTCTGTAAATTTGTCGTGTTTATTCAGTGAGTCTTGGCTGGGACTGACACATTTTAATATAATGATACATGTTCTACGTACAAACAATAACATGATGACATTTCTGCGACAGAACGGTTAAAATTGGAATTTCTATTCAACTGAGCGAAAATGGCAAAACAATATACTGTTATTTGTTAAAAATATTCTGTCAATTAAAAACAGAAGTGCTTTGGCAAGATTTAGATGTGGGGTAGCTCCACTAAAAATAGAAACTGGAAGGTATGAAAGAAAAAAAGTCCACGAGATGACATGTTTTGTAGCTAGCTCTACTATTGAAGATGAACTTCACGTCCTTTTAAAATGCCCATTTTGTAGATTTAAGACAAATCATGATACATTAAGCTAAACATTTTAAAGAACATTTAAACCTATTATCAGATAGCGAAAAATTTATATTTTTATTTAATAACGACAATGTTGCTGCTATAGTTACCAAAAACATCAACAATATTTTATTCAAAAGAAACGATATCTTATTTCACTAGTTCTTAAAGAAACAAATGTTTTATTTTCATTTAGTATAGATGGACACTGTAAATTTTAAATGTAGATGAGTAAAACTATGTTTATATGTATATACTGTGTCTTAAAAGTATCTCATAAATCTTTTTAAGATTGGTGCATACAATGCAAATGTTATAATGTTTTATGTTTATTTCTGTGAATCTCATTTTATGTTTGTATGTGGTGAGACTATAATACAATATAGAATCTAAAAATATTGTAACTACAAACTTTACTTAAATATATACTTGAGTCCGAAAATTAAAACCAACAGTGTCAGAATTAGATTTTTAATTGTCCCTCAACGGGCGTTTAATGCCATTGATATACTACAGCACCAATCGCAATAGACATGTTCATATGTTTTGGACATCTTATCAGTATTAACGTTCAACTTGAGTTATTTTCTCCAATGTTGAACTATGCTAGATTATAATTCTTCGCTTATTTGGTAAATTAATATTCTACTAAGATATTTTCAATCATTTAAGTTTTGATAAATACCATTACAAATATCCTATTTGTCTCAGTTTCTGATGGTCACATGCACATGAGGGTATTCCATTAAGAAAATACAATATACAAGGTTATCGGGTAAATGTAGATTGCGGATTAAGATGTTAGATGTCAAACTTGAATTAACAAACTGATGCGAATTTAACACAAATATGTATTTTCTCTTCAACAGTGTTTTTATTGTCTCTTCTATATTTTCATTTAAACTAAGCTAAATACGTTTTGTGGCAAATGAAATAAAAATAAACATTATATGTATTTGAAGGCATTTTGTAATTAAACAAGTATAAGATCAGGCAAATCTATCACGTATTCCTTAAGAATGATTTTAAAATTGAGGAACTTTTTAACTTGAAATTGTGATTACGGGTTTAAAATACAGTTTTTTTTTTAATTTTCGATCTGATAAAAAAGTTAAATATATGGTATTATCATAACAAGTCTTTATTTGA